AAGGGTGGCCGAGTTTGTGAAAATGCCGGGTTATCGGGAATGGGGTTAAAAAATATAAGTATGAGTGTTTCCTCAGAAAATACTGTACTGTACTTGTATGTATTGTTTACTTGAGAATACAACAGAGAATAAACTGCCCAAATACCCTTAAACGAAGAAAAAGTACGTCTTTTATGAAGGCATAGAGCCTTTACTATATGAAAATGAAAATTAATGAATACACTGTACAGTAATTTACCTGATAAGACAGACCTCAGAAAAATACTTTATGAGGCATAAAGCTGTCTTTATCATGAAAATTAATTAACTAAGGATTTTTTTGCCCTGCCAGGGTGTGGCCGAGTTATCCGGAGTGCCGGGTTATCGAGTGCTGAGTTTTCGAGGCTCTACTGTATAATCATCATAAATCCTAGAGAACGAAACATGAAAACATCTGCGTTTCTGTGTTGTCATCTTATTTAGCGGTCTTTAAGTGCTCAATATTGGTGTTTTCCATGGTAACTCCAATATCTACCATTTGGCATCACTGTCAGTGCCACTCAATATTGGTAAATTTAATATAAATTAGTTTATTTTCTATTGTCACAAGATAATTTTAATAATTGTATTTGTTATTTAACCTTACAAAATCATCTTATTTTATAATGTCTTTGAGCGAACCACATTCACAAATAAAGAAACAAATTGTAAACACATACAGTACATTTACAAATATGTACTGTACGTACATGAATTTGTAAATTTAGATTTAGTTTTTAATATAGTTCAGAAAAAAGTAAATTTATTTGTTTGTAAGCTTAAAATAGCTTCTTATTATTAACCATATATTATTAAAAACACATTTATAAATAAAATACAAAACTGGAAATGGTTATTTGTGGTTTAGCCTAGTGACAAGTAGATTCAGAGACAAGTAAATTCGACTTAGGTCACCTCTCCTGGAACCAATTATCAACGTGAGGCAAGGTATACCTGTACTAATAAAACTGAACATGAGCACGAATCTCAATACTATTAACAACTAGACAAACAGTGTGAAAACAAACGAACACAACAACAAACTAGACAAGACGAACGAACAAACAGAGAAAACAAGCAAACCCCAAAGTTTTTTTCTTTTTATTATTATTATTTTTAATGCATTTATTTATTTTTTTTAAACATTAACTTACTCACTAACTAAACTAACCTACCATAACGTAGGACAAACCTAACCAGACAACTTAAGCTAACAAACCCTAATCTAATTTAACCTAACCATAAACCAAGCTGAGTCCCTAATCTAACTTACAACTAGGACTAACTGAATTTAGACTGAAAAAGAAGATAGAAAATAAGAATTAAAGTACAAATATACCAACAGTTGAAACAAAGCAAGGGAAAGCTAATTGCCATCCATGCCCCCAGAGTGAGTGCTCTCAAAGGCCCCAATAAGGGAAATGAATGTGAGTAGATGATGGAACATTGTACGCATGTGAATGAGTTGATGCAGGTTGCAAGGCCAATTGTACTGTTCAAGAATAGCAGCTCTCATTAAACTATCCCTAATGTGATTGTACAGTACCTATTGCAGCAAAAAACTAAATGAAGTGGTGTTTGGTCCTCCTGAATATCACAATCACATTGTGGATTGTCCCCAAGGTTAAATCTATGCAAGTATTGCTTAAAGTTGCTGTGTCCTGTAAGTAGCTGAGTGAGAGTGTAACTAGGGTAAAAGAGCAAAGAACTGCAGTAGTATCAACCTTGGGGATGAAAGTGTAGGTGAGCAGATTCACAATGGCAAAAGTAACATCTCATTATTTCATAATTAAAAAGTAATTAGTGAGAAATTAGCAAAACAAGCAAAAAATCGGAAACGTTGCTACATATATGCATGAAGAAATATTTCGAGATTTGCAAGGCATTCATACTTAGTTCTAACTATATCAGTACAAGTTTTCTACAATGGCCCCAATCCGCAACCGACCCCAAAGCCCAAACAATTTGTTTTTTGCAGTTTCGTCATCGTAAATATTCTGGTCAACAAACTAACATTTTAGTTGCCATGACAGTTGTTTTTATCATTCTCTCCGTCCCGACCCAGTAAATCCCCCACTCCCGAAAGGCCTGAGCGACATTGAGCACAGACAACAGGGCAAAACCTTGGAACATACTAACCGACAGCACAAATTTTTACATCGCATCACAGAAAAGATCGTCACATTAATCGAGCAAGACGTCAGTATAAAAATCAGTTTACTCATACCGAGTAGTAGTCCCAGAACAAAATTTTTAATTTAATTCTGGTAATGACAGTCATAACTTGAATGGCATTGCATTCTTAGAATATTCAACATTCTAAAATACGTCGTTCCAACATGGATACCAAGGACAGCCCGAAGCGAGGCCAAAAACACTTCACGAGTAAATGGATCCCATAGTAGTAGTTATTATTTCGACCAATAAACGGTGTCTTCACCTACTTATATATCTAAAAACATCAAATATCTATAAAATTATATTATCAACACTCTTCCAATTAGGTTCGTCACCTATAGTGGATTTGACAGGAGACTCCCAGAATCTGGCAAAATTTTTAAATTTTCCGACTCATCTAAATCGACTCTTCGGGAGTCGGCAAGCTCATTTCCAATCGTTATCTTTCGAATAATCTACGAAACTCGAGAGCAAAGAAACATAAATACGAACAGACGGCTTAACTGTGGTAACAATTCATTCTACATTTTACTTACTTCTTGCACGGCATCGGGGCTATAGAATATAAGTATTAAAGACGTAAATATGTTGACAAACAGACCAGTTATGGTCATCAGATTCGGTGACAGCCATATCGGTAATTTGGTTACTAACCAGTTCCAAAATAACTGGACGAGAGGATCGAGAATAGTAGAGCCAGACGAACTATATCTGTGCTCCGTTAGTTTTCTCAATTGAGATGGCGATAAAATATCATTAGAACTAAAAATCATTATTTATATCGACAACAAAACCATTTATAAACTTATAAACTCGAAAGATCAAAACTTCGAAAGTTTCCTCCGTGAGCATTCGAAGTAGAGTGTTGCCATATAGAGGTCGAAATTTTCCAATGGTTTTTTTAGTTGTCGAAATTAACGAATAAGTTAGTTTTTTAAGGATTTCAGAATTTTATTGCCAATGTGTGCAAAACTAAAATATTAGTATAGTTACTATTATAAAATTACTTTTGATTTCAAACTTCTTTCGTCTTTTTTCATTGTCGTCATTTAAGTTCATTATTCGTCACGCTACCAAGTCGGAGCTTCTGACTCTAGCGGGATGCTTCGCCAACATTGTCTAATCGTGGTATTTTCAGGGTCTTTTTAACTAATGGTCTGCCAACTCACTCACCTTTGTACAGTACTTTCGATTTGTTCTCGAGTTCTAAGAACGACAGTTAAATACACAAATCACGTACCGGTACAACACGCAATCATGTTAGTTAACTCACTCGAATTTTTCCTCCAATTAGAATTTATTTATAATATATTTGAGAATGCTTAAGGCCCTGTACACACTAGGCGTTTTTCAACGCGCGTTTAACGCGCATTTTAAAGGACCAAGAGTTCTATGTAGGCGTACATACTCAAACGCCAAGCGCGCGTTTATAGATTTTTGTTAAAACGCGCGTTTTGCGGGGACTTTACGGGCGCTTTGAGATATATGTGCTGCCTTATAGCGACGATGGAGGAGCACACACAATCAATTACTTTCTCGTCCATTTCCAAACTGAGCCAGTGCTAAACGCCGAACTAACGCTCGTCGAACGCCGAGCTAACGCGCGTTAGCTCGGCGTT